ACTTCTGTTTTCTTCAGTACCAAAGAAGCAGTCTATCCCTACACATCAGCATATGATGCTTCCTTATTTTTTTTTATGTACTGTACTCTGTGAATTTCAAGAAAGGAAACGTAAGAATGCCAAAAAAAACACCCCAGGCTCTAGCTGTTTTCAGTGCACTGTGATCCCAAGAAGCCGGTTTGGAGCTGAGCTGTCAGACCACCATCCTGGATCAAACTCAATAGATAATCTTCCCATCCTAAGATTAGGCCCTCATACAGCTGACTCTTTTTTCTTCTTCCAAGTAACCCCTGCTTTGGTTTGTTTGCATTATGCATTTACATTTTCCTAAACTGTGGCTCTGATTTCCCATAAGCATAAATGATGCTGACTGACCACCACAGCCCTTCACATGTATCATTAAGGATGACTCTGAACTCCGCTATGGCCTCTCATTTCTATTGCTGAGCATTTAATGCACACACTTCAATAAACATGTGATCCCAAATTGGATTTTTCTACAGATAAGCAGCTGGACACACTGTGCCACACTCACTGTCAGAAAGAAATGTTTAGCTTGCCATAATTACCTCAACCATCAACCACAGTGCCTGATGAGAACCCTTCCATTATGTGACATCCCTGGAGGCATATTCCCCCTTCAGCCATGCAGGCATCTAAAGAACCTCAGGGAGCTGTACCATCAGTCTGCATGCTGATCTATGACAAATAAATGTTGCTCAAACAGTTTCTGTCAGTGCTGATTTACTTGCTTTGTTTCTTTGCTTGGGGTTTTAATAACAGTATTAAAAGTCTTTGCTCCCAGTGTATTTGACATTGTGCCATTGGTCCATTAGGATTTGGTTGAGTGTTGTGCATTATTTTTACTTTGCATTCACAGTGTGCTCTGTAATAGCTCACTCTGAATTCTAGCAACGGATGCTGTGAATTTGTATTAACAGCAGTGCTGATTTGTGCAATGCGTAGTAAAACTCTTTGCAAAAGAATACTTAGCGCTTCATGTCCTTTAGCATAGGAGATCAGAGTTTCCAAACAACAACAGAGACTTTTCTTAGCAAGTTGTTCCTGGACTAATCATAATGGGAAGGATTTCAGCTTGGATGGAAATCATTGACACAAGCTGCTGTTGAAGCCAAAAGTTTATGTGGCTTCAAAAAGCAATTAGACACAATTATGGAAGAAAAAAATCCATGAAAGGTGACTAAACACACAGATAACTCTGATTCAGAAATTCCCTGAGCCCTTGGTTGCTGAAGGCTAAGAAAGGATCCTAGGGACAGATCACTGTACAGCTCTTCTCTAAGAGTCTCCTATTAGGCACTGCCTGAAGAACACACTGTTCTAGTCTGACTTAATATGGCCTTATGGTGTCACGTTAAGAAGTCACGCTGAGAGCACTTACGAAGAGAGAATGAGGAAAAAAGACCCACAAAATATCCCCCTTCAGGTTAACAACTTGCAAGTGTTAAGATTTTCAGCATTTAAATCCTCCTTTGTATCTGATTAGAATTCAGGTCCTCATAACCCCCATCAGCTTCCTTAGGAAGAGCATACACACTGGACTGCACTATAATCATAGGCATTTTGGTGCCCACGGTGCCCTTAATTGGCTGAAGCCTTGCACAGTGTCTGGCATAAAAGCACTGATTTGCTGTAGTCTGTTTACACAAACTGGCCTCAAGTTTGTATAAACTACAAGATACATTTTTGGCAATGAGTGTTTTAAAGTCTGCCATGGGGTAGGGTCACAATTGCTAAGGAGGAAAAGCTGGTTACTCGGTTAAACTAAGCAGAGGAATCTGGCAAAGCACAGAGAATACGTTACTCTGACAAAATTATAGGCAGTTTACAGCAGTGAAAAATCATTAATTTCGAGGCAAGTCCTACCACAAGTGTCACATCTTAGGAGATGCTCAGCACCATGAAGCTTTCTCCATATGCCTTGACCTTCTCTGGAGAGTGAACATGCCTCCTTAAACAAGTGGTCACTGGCATACTTGATGGACGTATTGAAACTGGGGTAAACAAACATACCTGTCCTGAAAAAAACTCAAAGACATTAAGGTAAGACTGAAAAAGTAGCAACAGCCACACAAGGTGATTATTTGGTTTGGATTTGACTATTCTTTTTTTTTAGTGGGGTACAGGAATGCACTGGGTTTTGGCATTTTTCTGTTGTGAAATGATCTGGACAATTTGATGTCTTGGGGCTTGGCAGACAGCACCTCAGTTCTTGCTGTTTATCGTTATTTAAACCATCTTGCTCAAAACTGTGGGTGGAAATAAATAAAAAAAAACTGTGAAATGCAATGAACCAATGACTTTCTCCCAGTTGAAAGACATGTGGTTTAGTTTTGTGGGTTTGTTGGATTTTTTTTTCCCTTGGTTTTGTTTTTTCCCCCTCTTCTTTTTGCTAAAAGCACTGGCATTGACTACTACACTAGAAATACCCAAATAGTAGTCTTACACCACCTTCTCACTCTGGGCACTCTTGTGCTTTGCCACAATTCAGGACTCTGCTTTCCCTGTATGTCTTCAGCACCTTTCTTTTCTTCCTAATTATGCCAGTCCTCTCCCTTCCTATTTGCAATAACTAATATCCCTGTGACAGCCATTGCTGAGATGAGAAGGCAGCATTAGGAAAGCATTTAGTGAACATTAATTGCTTCTTAATATGATTTAGCTGCTGGAAATAAGAAGGCTAAGCTAGCTCCATGTGACCAGCAGCCCTACAGGCACTGCCACCAGACTCCATTGGAGATGCAATCCTGTCAACCTGGGGGGGCAGCAGCCATTCACGGATGACACCCAAGGCTACGTTTTACTTTTCCAAATTAGCAGCTAAGTAGGGTTGTAGGAGCACAGCAACAAAGTCATCATGACACCACCTGGCTGATTAGTGATCTCTTCCTTCTCTGCGATCCAGCAATTATCAGTTCCCACTGGCTTCACAAGCTAATGGGAATCAGCGGCTGGGGGATGCTGCCAAGATGCAGCAGCTTCCAGCTGTCAGGAGGAGGATGGGATGGGACACAGTCTCAGTGTACTCTCTTCGGTCTCTGCTTTTTCCTGTGTGGCATCTTTGGCACCTGTGCCTGTACCATTTTGACCCTCTACATTATGCTATGTGACACCGTCACTTCAACATGGCAACACGACGCAAGCGAAACTTGGTCTTTCAATCTAGCATTCCTAAATTTGAATCCCGATTTACCATTGATTCTTAACTTGCCCTTTAGTTAGATCACTTAATCTCTTTACTAAGTTGCTCTGCCAGGAACTTAAGGCTGGTAACACGTTAGAGGTATTGTGACAATCAATCAATAAGTGTCTGTAAAGTTGTTGGTAAACAACAAGCACCGAGTGCCAAGTCCAATTTAAACAGATATGGTTTATAAACTTCCCATTTTCTTTGCAAGAACTTTAACACGACACAAAGATTAACCTTCTGATATGGAAAAAAAATATCTCTGCTGATATTATATACTGGTGCTGGCAGCAGACCTCTAACTTGAAATACGATGTTCTTACTGACATCACTAAATTTCCCATGGATTAGCTGACAGTGATGCTTCAGGACTCATGGGAAAAGTGTACTGAAGACAGAAATAACAGCAAGGGGAAAAAATAGTTTTCTTGTCTGTAATTCCACATCTTCGTCTATTCAGAGCTGAAATAGAATACCACCAGACTTCCCAAAATGAAAGATTTATTATTTTATATGAAGTATTTAATGGGTGTTATGAAACAGTTGATAGTATCCACTAACATAAGGAGAAGCCTTCAAATTTTACAGAAGTAACAGTGCAATTGAAATTTCTAGTATCTGATACCTAGTGAACATATATATACCTTGAAAAGCATCACCGTTGGCCCCTACATGTTCATGTACCATGTCACGTGGATTTATAGGATAAGGCTGAAGCAAGTTTTTTTGGGAAATGGTGATGAAACACCTTCATGTTCAAGACATCTAGGATTCATGATAACCTCAAAACAGCAAACTTCAGGACTTCTAAAGTCTTATCTCTGGCTTTGGTTCTTGATTACAACTAAGTACTTGAAAGCCAAGAGGACAACTGAGCTGTGTTCAGGGGGATTGTGCACTGAGCCAGTCCACTACCTGCCACCCCACACAGAGACCAGCCCACAGTGGCTTCTAGCTGCCTCCCACCAGCACCCACAGCACTGCTAACCAGTGAGGTAACAAATGCCCTAAAAAAGAATTAGGCATTTCCTGGCATACCCAATCACAGCTGGTGCTGTGCTGCTCCTCTGATGCACCATAGGCATGCTGCTTCCCATCCTTGTCTCTAACCACTTACCAGTCATGATATCAAGACCCTTGTTACTTCATTTATACAGCTGCAGCAGTGCTCGCTCTTTGCGGCCTTCCAGCCCTTGTTTGAGAGCATAAGAGGAGCAGCCCCAGGGCTTAAGAGAACGCTTGCAGGCACAGAAAATAGGATAGTGAAGAATCTGAAAAAAACAAGGTATCAGCTGGCTACAACTGAAAGGCTGTTATCAAGTATAGCATCTCTACTACCTGCTCTGTTAATAAAGGAGGCTTAATGGCACGTTGTCACCTTACTAGGTTTCTCATAGCTCTAGGTGGTCTTGTGAAAACCCCGTTAAATGCACTACTAGGTAAAAAAAAGATGCAGAAATATTTATTTACCAAACCCACTGCAAACGCATTCTATAAAACCCCAAATAACGCACTGGGTGTTATTTATAAATAGAGACCTATTAAAGCTGCAGCCACCCAAGTGCACCAGCCACAGGGCAGGGCAGGGCAGGCACCCCCAGGAACCTGCCCCATCGGCAGCGGCGCTCCTTGCCCGAGGGTAAAGTTTGCCGAGAAACCCTCCCCCTTCTCCCGACCCTGCCCTGCCCTGCCCTGTCCAGCCCCTCAGCGCGGCCGCCCCAGCGGGCAGGGCCCCGAGCAGCGGCCGCGGTGGGAGGGAAGGCGGGAGGCGGGAGGCGGGTGGGGGGTGCTGTCAGCGGCGGCGCAGGGCTGCGGGCGAGGGGCGGAGCGGAGAGACCCTGTGTCTACCATGACCGCCTCCCCCTCCTCGCAGCCTCCCTTAAATACTATGGGGCGGCCGTAGCTGTGGTGGGTGTTGTTGCCGAGCGCACCATGCGGGCTGTCATCGCCTTGGCCGCGGCGTTGGGCAGCTTGCTGCTCGGCGGCTGTCTCCTGCGGCTGGGTGGCCAGCAGCCCCTCCGCGCCAGGTAGGGCGGCTGGGGGCTCCTCTCCCGTGGCGGTGGGGCTGCAGGGAGGGAGAGCCTGGCGCCGGCTGGGGAAGAAGGAGTGGGACGTGGTGAGTCCCTCGCCGGGAGAGGGGCGCGGCGGAGACTGGTGCTGTGGCCGCCCGGCGCAGGCTGGGCTCGGCTCGGTTGTTGGCGGCGTGTGAAGGGCTGGCGGGGAGGAGACCGGCGCCGCTCCCATCTGGTAATGTTTAATCACTGCTTTTGACAACTTTGTTTTCCTGTCTTGCTTGCCAGGGGCTGGGAGCAGGACGCGGGGGTAGCTGCTGTCACGCCGAAAGTGGTGCGAGCCCTCCGGCAGCCCCTAACGCCCCTTCCGCGGACCGAGAACAGGTACTGGCTGACCGCCACCAGCCGCTGGTAGCGGGGTCCGTGCGAAAGGGTCCGCAGAGGCAGAACCCTGCCTGCGCTCCGACTCGTCCTGCCTTTTGTGTTGACGGCTTGATCAGGGAGAGTGTTAAGAGGCTTACCAGGCTAAGAACATGAAAATTCACTCAAACTGCAGTAAATTATTTGCTCATAGGCCCTTTTAATGACAGGTTTTGCTCCAGTGTTGGTTTTGAGCCCAATAAAATGTTGCATTTAGCAGTTTTGTTAACGTACGATGCAAAAAGTGCTTGCTGTATGTCATCTTCCAGGTATCTTTTATTACTCTTTCCAGGAAGGTGGAGCTGGAGCTGTATAATACTGTTACCGTTTCTGTAATGAGTATTTAGTTAGAAATACCCATTTCTCTTTTAAAATCCATAGGATGAAGACAAATGAGCCCTTTTTCATGTTGTGTAGCATCTTACTTTGTGGGAGCCCTTCCACCTGGTTCCACGTCTTGGGCTTAGATCAGTGTTGATCTTTGCTTTACTGCCTCTTATTTTATACTGTGAAGTTAAATATGAAAATAGTTGTTAGAATTAGCTGTGAAACAAGTTATGTCTCACATGCAGGCTTCACTATAATGACTGTGTTTTCATGCTCTTGATTCTTCACACACCGTAGGAAAACTAATAGTGCAGAAGAGGGTGGTGTCATCCTCACATGAGATATTACTATCTAAGAAGTAGCTTACAAATATTTTTGTTACTCTTTTACTTAATATGGCTTCGTTACCATTGCAGTTTCAGTGATTATCATATGTTTTCAAGGATATCATATGTTAATACATATTATGGGTAAAACCACATGATGAAAATTAGATGTAACTGTGATGTCCTGATTATATTGAAGTCAATGGTGAGCCTTACCTGAGGCTGCCATCTCACCTGATCTAGCTGAATTTGAGGTTGAAACAGCACATGCTTTCCCTAAATGGATGCAAGTGGCATTAGTTGTAGTAACCATTGCAGTGTACCCCAACAATAGGTTTCTTTTGTGTTACCAGTGAGACACCCTTGTGCTCCTGGCCTCAAAATGTAGAACTTTCACAAGCTGTAAGTTTATAATGTCTTTCAAAATTAGACTGAAACAACAGGAACATGTGCAGAATTCTGACTGCTGTTACGTGCTCTTAGGCTGCTTCTCTTTCCTGTGCTCATTTTTTCCCATTCTACCTCTGTTTTCCACTCCTTACAATTTATTGGGTTTGCAGTATGTACCCTGTTCTGCTTTGCTTTTTGTAGCTGTCGCTCCATCCTCCTCTTCAGCCTGTTTTGTGTTATGTCTGTGGTTTCTCTGTGCCCGATGTTCTACGACCCTTCTTTTCTCCTGCTTGTTTCTGAGCTGCAGTCTCCTTCCACTCCGCTCTGTGCTAAACCATGGAGTCAAACTGACTGAAAATGCTGGCAGACAGCATTTCAGAGAGCAGTCTAGGTACTTTCCATCTGCTGTTTAGTACACTCGCAACTGGAGCAAAGAAAGGGTAAGCAACACATACTGAAGTGGGCTGAAAATCCATGGCATGTATGGGTCGGTTTTTAATCTCTGTAATAAGTGAGCATGAGATTTTAAATACATGTTTTTTCTTTAATTTACTTGGAGGATTTAGGCACCAATTTAGAGCTAGTTTTGATCAATCTGAAATTGTATTTCTTTGTGATTAAGTGACTGCAAAAGTGTGACAAGTAAATTGCTCACCAATGAAAGTTTCATTTCATTCCATCTCCTGTAACTATAGTGTCTTTGGAAGGGATGGCTTGCTGGCTGAATCCAAGAGAGGATGTTCTTTCTCGCCCTAGTGGCTATGCTCAGTAAGCTGGCCTGACAGGAGTTCCTGGTGCATGTTTGGTGTATGAGGAAGGAGAGTGAGCTGCTGGACTGAACAGGAGCTGTTACTTAATCCAGAGAGCAGCTGGACTGGGCGGGGAGCCATGCTGAAGGGGTTTGATCCAGGCAGCAGCTGGACTGGGCCTGGCTTAGGGCCATGCTGGAGAGATTTGATCCAGAAAGCATCTGGACTCATTCAGGAGGTTCAGACCCATCCCTCAGTGTTGGAGATGGATGGTCTGGTCAATAGGAATTAGATTCCAGTTTGCAGTGTGAGTTTGCTGCGCTATTCACGAGTATAGCAAAAGCACAGAAGAGTCCCTTGTTGAAATAGGTTGTACAGGGGTTAGTGAATTTTTGAATCGGATGAGGCTATATGAGTATGTTGATCCATGAAACTAGGACAATCTCTTGGTGCAAGTATGGGTCTCCTACAGTATCCCGATAGTTTGATCAGCATTGCTGTGTTGCTGACACCAATGTCCTTTACTGCGTCAGAGTAAGAGGATGTGTGTGGATGTTTGATTAGATTCTGATCTCTTCAGCAGTTTGATGCATTTGTCTGGAAAGGTAAGATTTTCTCACCAACTTCAGTGGAAAAGTTAAAAAAAAAAGGGCACTACCCTGCTTTAACTGTAAGTAATCTAGACAATCTTCAGAATTTCAAGCTAATCTTTCTTCTTATCACAATTCCCTGTGCTGTTGGAGGCATATTTGTAACCAGACATCTCCTGAAGAATCTCCAAAGCCCTATTATTCTGTTGGCTTGCAATATTGAAAGTTAATCTGTTCTTTTACTTCGAGTAATTCTTCTAAAGGGATGAAACTGAAAGATGAAAGAATGAAAAACAGGGGATTGGTTCAGACTGTCACAGACAGTTAGGCAGCTGTCATGCACAGCAATGTTTAATTAGGTAGTGACCAGCCACCTAAAGTTCTCTGAAGATCTGTGCCTTAGTAAATGACCTTGAAGATGTGGCTTGTCTCTTGCAGGACATTTCTTACCACTTTTTCTTGTTAAGGGTTAGGTCACTCGAACAATGTGACTGCCTCTACAGTGTAACTTCCAGGTTCTCTTGTGGGTTTACTTTGCAGCCTGCAGTGCCTGTTAGTAGGGTTTCTTCCTAAAAGAAAAAAAAGGCCAGTGTTAGTAAGATTTCTCTAGTAGTCCCCAGATTTATTCATGGAACCAGTAGCATTCACACTGCAATACTATGGTTCTCTGGAAAATCTTCATGTCGCTGCCTCATAGCATCTTCTCAGTTGTTAAGCTGTAACTGAAAGTACAGCTTAAACTTGCTCAAGCCAACAGTACAACCAAAAGTAGTCTTGCACTTGTCCCACCTTTAGACCGTTGGTCCTCCCCTCACAGCTGTGTTTTTGCTGGAATATTTGTTTGTGTAGTCACAGCATTAACAGCAAAATAGAGGGCTCAGTACTGCTCGTGCTTATCAGAGAAGGTGATAGCAGTAAGAGGAACTAGGTAGTCTTTGTTATGAGGCCTAGGGTGTACTAGGTTAAGCTTGTGCAGAAATTTTAGCTCCTTTTGCACTGTCCAGGGATATATAGCAGATAAATAATGCCAGGTCCTACAAAGGAAGTGAAAACAGTTTTCTCAAGCACTATTTCTATATACTTTGTGCACAACTAATAACAAGGCAGCAGTATACCCTGAAGAACTGACCATCACTACTATTATTCTGTTAGTGTCACTAATTTTAAGGCATTTACTTACTATTTCCCTAACTTACACTCTTCCTTTGCAGGTCCAAGGCAAGCACAGTGTAGAGACTGTTGGGGTAATTGAACAGTGGGAGGAAATGATTGAGGAGCTATGAGTAAACAAGTTAGCATTAATACAGTGTTTTCCATAGTATTTGTTTCTCCAATTCCTCTCTCAGCGGCAGATCTTTATGCAGACCTAGGGAATAAACATCTATACTTAATTAACTGTGCTACAGAGACCTGTACATTCTGTCTCCTGTCAAAATACTGCATTCTGGCAGTCAGAAAGTGAAGAGACAGACTTAACCACAATTATGAGCAGTAGTTTAGTATACTGTAGCATAATTTGCTAGAGCTTAGATTAGTCAGTACTGGTGCCTACTTCACTATTGTTACCCTTTTCAGTATTTTTTCCTTTCATTCCCAAGTGATGCATGTAGATGTTTTTTAGGAGTGCTGTTCAAACACGGGCCTCATGTATTAGTTCTGTCTAAATGAATAGGTGTTCAACTGAAAGCTGCTGCCAGGACACATTTATGTTTTGACAGTGGTGAAAGGTTTCTCAGCCTCCTTCTGTTTACTTGGTCCAAGTGAAACTGCTCTGTCATTCTGTCTCTTGCGTACTGTTGTAACATCATTTTAGTGTAAGTACCTGTTCTCTTCATTTTACCCACCATGAGACTCTGCATGTTGCTTGTCATGTTACCTGTCATGCGGTTTATGGATTTTAGAAAGAAAAACTGTCTGATGTATAACTCTGAATGCATTGGAAGGTCTTCCTTCAAAATGCAGCTTGTCTTAAAGACCTGATTTAGCATTCCTTAGATAAGCAAAACCTCTGTGGGAACTTGAACAAGGACAGTAGAATCAGTCTCTTTCAGTTACTGTGATTAATGTTACAAGAGAAACTCTTACTTCTGTGGTTTGATAAAGCCATTTTAATAGTCCATTTCACCAAGCATTTAAATTGTGTATTGCCTTATTAATCAAGGTGTTTTGAACCTTAAAAATGTCACTATATTCTTATCATCTGATTAATTTGAAATAGTGTCAGAGGTAGCACTTTAGAACACTCTTCCTAGGAAAGTATGGGTTACTGGTTTTTAATTGTGTTCAACTCAAATATAAATTAGTCTCTTCAAGGGAGAGATTTAGACAGAAGGTGTTCACAGTCTGGATAGTGTTGTTCAGCGCCACTTTGCTAGAAGGATATAAATGTGCAGTTTTGCATGCAGAAGTTACCCTTTTTTAGCTGGAGATCCTCAGCTGGAGGAGGGATCAGAGGTCCTGTGCTGCTTCAAGGCAGACAAGAGCAGAAAGCTTAGGAAAAGTGCAACAACTGCTTTTGCTGGGCATGGAGTGAATGGAGTCAATGAGTGAGATTTTTCCATGTGTTCAGTGTGGACTTAACTCTTGTTGAAATTAGGGGTGAAATTCTTGCTGCTTTTAGTGCTGTCAGACAATCCAGTTCTGAGCTCTTTTGAAAATCTCACCCTGTGTTCTTTGAGTTGTTTCCAGCTGCTTTTATGGGAATTCTGGAGGATTGGCCTTTCAGTCCTGGGCATGTCTTTATGTTACAGTATAATTCACAGCACTCGATGTTATTTTTCCATTTTTACCTGTCCCTGTATCCCCCTTCATACTTTTTTCATCTATCTTCTGTCCATCCATTTTCCTACTCTGGTAACTGTTTGGGGTTTAGTTTGGTCTTGCTTTCAAAGAGCTTCTCTTTCCTTTCCCTCCCTACATCACTGCTCCCCCAGTGTACTTGTCTGTTTGGTGATTCCTTGCACTAAGGCTCCCTATAGGCTCAGGGCTGCATGCTACAGGTATAGCAAAAGGGGCCATGTAGTTCCTCTATTTCTTATTCTAAGGGTGGGTGCAATAGTCGTCTTAAAGAATTTTGCAGGTAAAGGAGCTGCTGTCTTCCTGAGAGCAAGATATAGAATAACAACTTGCTGATAAATATGGCACATGGTCCTAATCTACTGTGGATTTATTAAAGTACAGATGGTGTACTTTCAGAGTTCCTAGAATTACCATAGGAAGTATGTGGTCCTCAAGCTGTTCGTATATGATTAAAAAAAAAACGTTTTTCAGATTCTGGCCAGTGATACTGGCTTTGAGAACATCTAAACCCTAAGGGAAATGCAGCAGAAATTTCACTGTTTTGTCAGTTTTATGAGTTCAAGACAACAGAATATAGCAAGGTTTCCACTTCAAGTTCTCATCCAGAGTTTGTAAAATTAGTTGAATTTAGCCTGATATCTGCGTTGCTGGGCATGTTACCTGATTTCATTGCAGAAATTTTAGCGCAGTTCTAAGTATTGAACAAAGACTGTCATGCACTAGGTCAGGTAAATTCATTTAGTGATAAATGTTGCCTAGCATAATTGTCATAAGTGTTCAGAAATCTAATCTGAGCCTGCTGTCTGCACAACTGTGCAATGAATAATGCAGTAGAAGTCTGGACTGCCCCCTGCACACCCCTTTTCTCTGCATGTGGAAATCTTTCACTCATGAGAAGCAGAGGCTACTCTGACAGTGAAACAGAAATTCAGAAGTTTAACTTCTACTCGGATGAGTCATTGCTTTGCATGTCTTGCAAATAATTTGTTTTGGTTTTGTGTCCTTTTACACCATATAAATAGAGTGTTGAGTAAATTTTGTGTGGAAAAAGCTGCAGAAGCAGCATTTTGTTGATCTATCTTGTGCCTGCATTGTATGGATAAAGAACTTAAAGTTCATGTTTGGTTTTCCCCACAGCTGTGCCATTTTCACTATCTACTTGTTATGGAAAGGGAAGACTCCTTATTCCTTTTTTTATTCCCTTGATTGCTGTAAAAGTGATTGGCAGGATATAATGATGAAATGGAGCAGGAATTTATTTTGATCGTTCTTTATCTGACTTCTTCCTTTTTTGAAATTTTCAGGTCTTGAAAATGTGTGTGTAAAAAGCAATTGTATATTGAAAAAAGAGGCAACTTCCTTCAATTGATCTCAGTGCTGTGAATTTAAAAAGACTAAAAGGCTGTTGAGTAAAGCTTGTATTTGGTTGAGAGAATATTTATTCACTGCCCCAGTGATCTGAGGACATAAATTAATAGTAAGCTGTAAGGACCTTGTAATGATTCTCTGTATGGTGTTGAAACCTGCATGTGAAATAACATTGGTTGTCTGACGATGCTCTGAACGTACCTCACAGTGATCTGATCAAACCTAACCTCCTGATCTTCCTGGCAGGTTTCATGCGTTAAAGGAGGTCTCCTCTGTCCAGCTTCTTGATTTTTAGTTGTAATGAAAAACTGACCTGCAGCAGTAACATGCACTTGGCTTATGATAGCAACAATTCTTTTTTTCAAGGTGCTGCTTATGCACCTAAGCTTTGCCTGTAGCCATTTCCCTTACTTTAAGCTGCAGCTGCAGACGAATCATCTGAGTTTGCTGAGTTAAAGAAGCAAGAGGGAGGAAACATGATTTAGTGCTAACTAAACTTGCTCAGGAACTGGTGTTAGGTTGTTTAGTGAAAGGGCCCATCTGGTTCTTCTGTGTAGACAGAACCATTCAGACCCACCTGCAATAAACCTGTGTTCGTTCATAAATAGTGTAAGCAGAATATTTGCTGGCGCTTGCTATGTGAGATCTGCAGAATTGTTTGCTCTGAACCGTGTGCTCTGAGAGCCTTCTGTCCTCATGTTTGTATGTCATTCCTTGAAAAGGAATTAGATGAGGAGCTGTACGCAAGACTGGCCAAGGAGCTCTCGGTAGGTAGTGCCAACTGTTGCTAAGTATTGCAGTCACTGCAGAACTGAAAGGACGGAGGTTTACATTGTGTTGTCTTACCATTACCCTCAACAAGGAGCATGCAGGCTGCTTGTTTCCTTAGGGGCACTGAATGTATACTGGGAAGAAGATCTTCATGATGGAAATAAAGTGAGGGAGCTTCTGCAGCCTGTATTCTGGGTGAATTGTTCCTATGGAGTGACTGACTCATTAAAAAATTCATGGGTGATGGAAAGAGAAGGACAGGTGCTTTGTTCCTTTTCCTCCCCTGTCATAGCTATGAGCATGCCACTCAGTTCAGTAGCAAAATTAACAAGCATTTATTCTGCTCTCTCTTCTTCAGTCAGCCTTTTTCTTATTTGAATTATTTAAGATGTTAGCTGTTTTGAGAAAGCTCAAGGGGGACGTTACCAATACCTGAAGGGAGGCTGCAAAGAGAATAGAGCCATATTGTTCTCAGCAGTGGCCAGTGGCAGGACCAGAGGCAATGTTCACAACCTGAAACACAGGCGTTTCCCTCTGAACATCAGGGAAGACTATTTCACTGTGAGGGTGCCTGAGCACTGGCACAGGTTGCCCAGGGAGGTTGTGGAGTCTCCATCTATGGAGACACTCAAAAGCCATCTGGAGATGGTTGTGGGAAACTGACTCTAGGTGCCCCTGGTTGAGCAGGAGGTTGGACCAGATGACCTCTAGAAGTTCCTCCCAACCTCAGCCACTCTATGATTCCGTGACTTGAAATGGCATCTTTCCCAACTAAACTTCAAAATCGGCTTGCCAGAAATCTTGTTTAGTGGTCAGCATGTTTTAACAGGTGAAGGCAATGGCGTTTTGGTCCTTGTTGGTAAAATGAATCATGGTTCAGCAGCACAGCACATTGTGTACAAACCAGGAAGACCCTTTCTCTTTGTGTATGAGTGCCTCTGTACAGAGATGGCTCAGTTGTTCTGTGTTGCTAAGAACAGCACAGGTTCTGTTCACTGCTGCAGCTCATGCCCAGGAGTGAATGACACAGCATCTGTCTTCTGTATTTCTGTTTCTGGTTTGGACAAACAGGTTGCAATATTCAAGTGGTCTATAAGCAGTGAATCAGTAGAAAGAACCCAAAAGGAAAGGGGAGGGGAGGAAGAGCGAAGGGTGAAGAAGAGCAAGAAAAATAAAAAACGTCACAATAAAAGACAACACCCACAGCAGAAGGCTGATGATAGAAGAGGGTGATAGTATGAGACTGAACCTCGATACAGGGTGAATCGAGGTGAATGGAATAAGACACCGGTATCTTGGTCATTCACTAATTTCCGGCTCAATCTTCTACTATGGCTACCAGGGCAAGGGGACCACACAGGAGCTTGGCAAAAATAAGGCAACAAGATTTAAAGATCACTGTCTGGCACTTGCCTTGGCTCCTTTTACAAATGTTTATCCTCACTGTGTAAATAAACAATAAAAGAGGGAGGAAGTATTAAGCTTAAGAAGTTAAGGTCCAAGTGGAAAGATCCACTTCACCTGTGGTGTTTCCTGTATATATTATATTGGCTCAGAATATTGCATTTCATCAACAAGTTTAGGGAATTGCATCTGCTAAATATTTTACTGGTGAATATTTTAAATATCTGCAAAACATAATCTTCCAGAGGCTTCCCACTTCATTTCTCTTTCTAATTACATTTTCTGATTACAGTGTGAAGCAGAAAATACAATTCACACTATGAAATAGGGTTACTTTGACGAATCAAACATTTTTATCGTCACTAGCAGCAAACTCCCCTTTTATACAAGAGCTTCACCATATGTCAATAAGATTTCTTTGGTGATGATTTCAGCTAAATCAGTGGTTATTAATCATATTGATATAGCAAAAAATGTGACAGCATTGTCAGGGAATGTTCTGTCTTGTAAAGTTTGTTCCTTTTTTGTTTTTCTCCTCCTCCTCTCCCCCCCCCCCTCCCAACAGAACAGCTGTTAATAAAAATGGAATTTACCAGTTCGAACAGGCTTCAAAATGTAAGGCAATTCAGGACAACATTTTATCATCATCTACCAAGAAGAAAAGGTAGGTGTTTGCTGTGCTTTCTGCTTTGTTTGTTTTAAGTAGGAGGGTAGAAGATTGCCCTCTTTCACATAATTCTTGGTGATATTAATGTGGAGCTATACAACCGGAAACTGAAATTATATAACTAATGTTTGCCTGCATTTTTTTCTTTCACATGAATTAGATTTAGTCAAGGTTGTATTTTATTTTTCTTATTTTCACAATATAAGCAAGATTTCTCCTTGCCAGTTAGCAACATTTTATTCCAAGATATTCACAAAAGGCTGTACAGAATTTGTGAGGTATAATTTCATTCTTGAGTGTCTTTTTCCTGATTGGTGAACACTCCTGCTATGAGCAACCTCCGTTAATGGGTTCTTTTCAGTGTATTCACTAGAGTAGGTATGAAAATGTACTAGCATAAAAAATTGCTAATTAATTTTACTCATTATAATGAATGGTTCACAGGCAAAAAATACTCAATTTTGGCTACATTGAAAAAAAAAAAAAAATCCCAGATTAATTTTGGATTTTAACCTTCTGTTCTGCCTTTTCCCAACATGGAAAAAAGATCTTTGATATCAGCCCTGCTCACATTCCTTGCCACTTTCTAAAGTGAAAGTGGGAGAGGCAGCACATTGCTTTTGACATGTAACATTTTGTCTATATGGATGCACCAGTAAATAAAACATTGTAAATGAGAAAGGCTTCCCATCAAGACTGGGTTCTAGCTTAAAATTAATTATTTGACATGATTGCTTTAAAATTGGAAGATTTAAAGCTTCCCTCCCTCCCCCCCCCCCCCCCCCATTTGTGAAGAGAAGTGGAATGCAAAAAAGCTCTCCTAGAAATAATTATGTGCTTTTCCCCATTCAAAGGACTGGAGATGTCAAATTTTATCACAATTTTAAAACTTCTCTGTCTTTTCTGCCCCCTCCTTTCACCTGTTTGTAAGTCACCATATTCTCAGCATTCTGTCTTTACTCTTAATTATTTATTTTTTCTCCTCTGTAACCTTTCCTCCCACCAACATTCCACATCATCAGCAACACTGTTATTGAAGTTTTACTCTTTTGAAAGGTGTTAGACCACTATGTTACTGATGCGCTGCTGGTGAGAGCCAAAACAGAGACTGGCAAACAGAGGTCAAAGAACACAGTTGACTTTAAAATTCAGTGATTAACAGCAAGAGAGGGACAACCAGTCACAGTAGTGCCTCCAAAATCCAGCTATAGCAATATAAATGCTGTTATTTATTCCATGTGGTACAAAATTGTACAGGCTGCAGCAATGCAGATGAGCTCTTCATACCTAGAACGTTTTGGAGCTGAGACTGTAGGAGAAACTCTACCAAGTGTGAGACCTCTATTCTGTGACTAAAGAGAAAGGAGCTGCACCATTTAACAAGGCAGAAGATGAGCTAGGCAGATAGGAAGAGAAACATGCTTGGAACGAAGGAGGAAGGGATTGCTTTGTGCCATGAATATTGCAACTCATTGCCTTTCACTGAGAGGAGCTTCAGGGATCTGTGTTGCTTTTTTGTGACCCACAGGCACGGTATATAAATGTTTTATATTGCAGTTCTAGACTTTCAGGGACATTCTGGATACTCCTTCCTCTTAAGTTGGCAGAAAGGGAAAAAATAGCTAGTTTAAAGGTTGTCAAATGATTTGATAGTAAAAAACGCAATGTAAGTGGGAACTTATTATTACAGCAGGTATGTGCTGGTGGTGATAAAGAGCCTGAAATGCTGAGTTTTGCTGGCAATTTTCCATTTTTATTCTAGAGCAAGCCCTGTGCACACTCTCCTGAGGGCTTTAAAAACTAATAGCTGTTTTGGTACTATTAAAGTGTCCAAAGGCAAAAGGGACCGTCCTTTTCTCTTGCATTTCCTGTAGTTATTTCTCTTTTTATTTGCTTCTTTCTTGAACATGAGCTGCCAAGTAGGAATATCTCATTTTTTCACTCTTGCTGCTCAATTTTCCTTCTAATTCAAATAGCCATTTCCTCTTTTCCCTCTGCCACCCCTCCCCCTCTCCCCCAGTAGTTGTTTAGTTATAGCAAGTAACAGTCAGGCCGCATCTGTCTTCCTGTTCTGACATTTTACCTATTGTCTCCCTACTTTCTAAACACTTCCGTCCTTGCTGTTGTCCTTTAGATATCTGCCAGAAATTAGAAGGTACTTATACTTCGTCAGTGCCTCAGCTGTGCATAATGATTCTACCTTAGCCACTGCAGTTAATATAGAAGGTCACTATGTACCTGACAAGTACTATAGACAAAAAACCCTTCCAGGTGTTATTTGTCAGCAAGGCTCTTACAGGATGAATTTCCTACAACAGCAAGTTATTATAATGGCTGTGGTGCAAGTGGTAGACAAAACCAGAACAAAATGTGTTTCATTCACTATTCTCAGCACTGTCATTGTTGTCTTGTCCATGTATTTTCATAGTTCAATTTACCTGAGCTTTTTTATCTTGGTAATAAACCCCTTTTAGTGAATAAGTGCTGTAAGCACCTGGGTACCAGAGGAAATACAGGTATTGTTCCAGCTCTTTAAAATGGAATAGTGGAGAAGAGGACTGTCTGGGTTACAGCAGAGCCATGAAATGATACCCTGATGGCCTTCTGGACTGTCCTCGATTGGAGGAATGACTCCCCAAGGCTCCCTTAAAGCAGGAATGCTAAAATAGGCTTTCTGAGAGGAAAACAAAGCTTTCTGGGCTGTAAACCCAGCTGCAGCAAATCCCAGAGCTTCACTCTGAGTCTTTAAAAAAAATTAATCAATGGGAATATTGTCTGTTAAAGTAGAGCTCATTGCGTGGAAGCCTTATATTGGGGTGAGCAGATGTGGTGGCTGCCTTGCAGACCTGTCATGGCTGGGAGCTGTCCCCTGGCCCCCAGCACATGCTACTGGGATGTCTCTGCCAGTGCTGGCAAAGATGAGTTCTGACAGTCCATCATGCCTTTGTAAGTCACAAAAGGAGCAAAACTGGATGTGTAGGGTGAGCAGAGGTGGTGGTCTGCCTTTTAAAAACCTGCATGTGGTGCTTTTCTAGGTGAGCTGCTGAGCTTAGAAACCTCTTGCTGAGTGATTCCACCCAGTAAATAGTAGTGGAAAGGCAGCAGGGTTCTTGCATTATTGGTATTTTTACCATAGGTGCAGCTTCTGTTACAGGAAGGTCCTTACAGTTTGTGACAGTGAGTGCCTGTGTTTCTCACAAAGCCTCAGAACTAGCATTATGGGTGATGCTTTGATTTTTCTCCTTACTAAATGTTTCCCTGTAAGTTGCTAATAACTTGTCAGTGCATGCAGTTTCTTTCTGAGCTGATGGTAATTTTTCTTTCTGAGTCTGATCTTCATCTTATCAATGTCTTTAGGGTGGAATTTACTTTTTCTGTTTTTTTTTCTCTTGGGTAATTATAGTCTAAGTAACTCTTCATGCTCTGTTATCCTATTCATTTTTGGAATTTATCCAAAAGTCCCAGCATCTAAGAGTTATTTATCATTTACCCTTAAGGAATAAAACTAGATAAGTGATTAAATATTAGCATAGGCTATTTTGGTCCTGTGCTTCTATCCCATCTTCCCCCACACACACACTCCCTTCCTGCCCTGTGCTGGTACTAACACTTCCCTGACCCCATGGTGAGCCGATTTAGGTAGCAGCTTCAGCAAGAAAGCAGTTCCATTTTCTCTGGCTGCAGTTCCAAGGCTGCTAATACAACACACCAGCATGCAGCTGCCAAAATAAGAAGGCCTTGTTCCCAGTTTCTCCGCTCCCATCACTCCTTGCTTATAGTGGCAGTGTTCTTAAGTGGTGTCTTTCCTGATCTCATTTAACACACTAAAGAAAATGTATTTCCATTTTTTTTTTTTTTTTTTTTTCTTCTGAGGTTGTTGATTTTGGTGGGTTTTTTTTTTGGCATGGTAGCAACTTAGTGTCCTATGAAGGCCTTTGACAAGTGTAAAAGCTGGTAGAAACAAAACCAAGGTGGAGTCAAGTAAGTACCAGCAGCGAGTGGCACAAGGGAGGGAACAAATTCAGAGTTGGACTGGAAGGACGAAGCATGTGCTGCACCAGGTCAGATCAGCTACAGCGGCAATGAAACTAGTTTTGCTTTTCTGTCAGTTCTGCCCATTTATTCCTTCTTTCTGAGCAGTGCAAGGGCTCAATAAAATCAGTTTAGTCACAATCAACTAGTTCTGTTAAGAGTCTGCCAAGTCTGGAGAATGAAAATCATACATGTCACAGGAGCAAACTTGAGACAAAGACCAGTTCTAATGTCATATTCCTCTTAATAGTTTCATTTCTTTTTCTGTGTGAAAATAGGACATGATTTTACTCAGGGGTAGATAAGTTACCTTTAGCAGGTGCAGTACTTCTATGAAGCAAACAAAAAAAGGGATCTGTTCTTTCAAATGTTTGCCATAAAGCTGTGGTACTAAAAGCATGTTGAACACAGACAGAGAATGAAACTTTTGGGTTGACCTCTCCTGCTGCAAGCCCGCTACAACCTTTTTAATATTCCTTTTTAGCAATTTTTATGCTACATTTAAAAACCAGTGAGATTTCTTGCTATGTGTAACTCTTGTAAAACTATTCAAAATACTCACTTGTAAGGTACAGCTTAAATAAACTCATGATCATTTGGTTTTGGGCCAGCACTAAGCCATTTTTGCTAAAATAATAGAAAGTAGATCTTTTCTGAAGAGGTTAGTCCCATAGAATTAGTAGTCATTGCATCCATGTCATCTCTTCTTCCCATTCCCCAAGTCCTTTTCAAAACTATTGTTAGGATCCGGGCACAAATGGAAGAAGTAATAACATTGAACCTATAGGGGAAGAAATGTCTCCATTCTTTTAACTTATGTGGTCTGAAGTACTAAACATATAGACAAATATGAATCTCTTGAAAGGTTTTAAAGGGAAGCGAAAGCTCTTTGGTTACATGTAACAATATAACCAAAGTCCTGGTTGTTGTAAAACAATAGATTGTTATGTTTAAGAGATAATTTGAAGGAAATTTACATCTGTAAATATGGGTCTGTGTTCTTAGATTATTGGACTGGGCTTTAAGGAGTCTATAAGGTAAATGGAGGAAAAGGCATAAGAAGTGTCATGTTTTAACTTGGCTTGCAAGAGCCACATTTCAAAACATTTTTGAAGTCTTGAAACACCAAGTGTAAGAAGGTTTTTGAATTATTTTGAACTTCTGCACTTGAGATGATTTCAAATAACTTGAAGGTATTAATGATCAAATATTGAAGTTTGAAACCAGTGTACTTTGGAAAGTTTCTGAAAAGTTCATTAGGGCATCACTATTAAGAAGAGATTTTTAATAGGTTGTGTTAATTAAATGAGGATAGTACTGTTACAAATTACAAAAATAAAATGGGTCATAGAGTTCTAAAAGCAACCTATTATATATGCACTGTGCACATTATTATTAATACATTCATCATTTGAATGTTTTAGAGACTGTTTCTAAATATACATACAGCTATAGTGTTTGATGTTGTTGCTGTTGCCTTTTTTAGATATACAGAAGACTATTATCTTCACATCGTCACAAAACTGCAGAACTGCACCTGGATAAGGAGACCAGAAGAATCTATGAAATTCAGGTAATTTTCATTGTCTCACTTAGAAAAACAGTTTACTCTAGATTTGTATAACAAGCCATAATTTTAAATCTTCCCTTCTGAAAACATAATTTTGTGTTGCTTTTAGACTACATTTGTAGCTGTACATTTCTATTAACCTTTTGCTGTTGAGGCTCTTCTTATTTATTTGAATTGAACTGTGCAAACTGAGTAGGATAAATGAAGCAAATTCACCCACCTCCACTGTAACAAATAGTTAACTAACTTGGGTAGAATGGATTAAAATACTCCTATCATAAAGCCTACAATATTTAAAAAAAAAAATCAGTAATGTGATTTTGTCCATCTGAGCTGGCACTCTGGTAAAAGACTGTATAATGAAGCAGTGTATTTCTTACCCCAAGGCTATTGCTTCTATTACAGAAATGCCCAAAGCACTCATTAGATTTGATGCTGCATGCTAGGTTTGAAACCCCTGAGCATGTAAGCACGTGATTACATCTGTCCTTTTTCAAGATGGCACATAAATTCATGCTCAGTAGGGACGGTGGTCTCTGAAAAGCTTCCACTATCATTTGGAAGTGCATCATGCTGATTTTAGAGGGCAGCTTCACTGTGCCAACCCTGTTTTCTCCAGGGTGAATTTCTCTCTTGAATTACGTTATTACATGGAACAGAATTAAAGATTCTGTCATGATCATTAAAAATAAACAAACTGACCTGTCTTCCACCTCTGGAGTTAACCAGCATTGAAAACTGAATATCCATGCCCAGCAGGATACCTTTGGAAGAAGTAATTTTGGGGTGTGTGCGCGAAGCTTTCTGTGTAACAGAAATTGCTGTGTTTGTTGTGTATTGTAACTGACTAATTGTGTTTCCAAAAGCTGAGGTAGGAGAATACACATGGTTAAGGTTTAAGAAACTTTCAGTTAACTTGGACAGGCTTTAACTGTGCGCAGGGATATCGGAGTGTGATAAGGAGCTGTAGAAGCAGCCCATTCTGCTTAAGAACAGGCAGGTGTCCTGTACAGAGTTGACAAGAGGTGAAGCTGCTCTCATCTGCTCTTCACCCTGCTACATTTAGGCTTATTGTTGTCCAGTCTTTTTAACTTCCGAACAGACCAGCCACCACTTGCAAGCATTTTGTTCATATGGACACAACCCATGCTGCAATTCTAATGGCAATACTGCATATTCTTCTGTCCCTATGATATTTGATCTGCTTTGATATCATCCAAAATTTCTGTTGCTATGACCAAGGACTGGTCCTTCAGATTAGAGCATTGCAGATGATTGTTTTACAAAAGATGTGTGCTTTTGCATCAGTCTTTTATTTTTCCATTGTCTCAAACTCCTGTCTGTTGTTTTTTAGAAATAGGATATTAAAATCTTACAATTATCCCTGGTCCCATACCCTACTGGAGACTTTCAAGGCTCTTAGCAGTTGGTCAATAGAGGCTTTAAAAATATGATTAAAGAAAGAGAGAAACAAATTCAGTATAAAATTTACTGCCTAAATCTGTATACACTCCATGTTTTTTTATCAGATTTTATCTTAAGCACAAGAGCCTGAAACTAGCTTAGTGAGGGCACTCTAGCTGAGAAATGATGCATTGACAGAGCTCTATGGGGTACAGAGCTTCTAGAAATGCGGTATAATAAATGAGTTAATAATCCCTTGGCAGTACATTTCTTCTTTTTTCTAACTTTGCCTAGTGTCAGTAATGCATAATAATTGTGTGTTACAAGTATTACTCAGTTCTAAAAATCTCATTGAGTAGGTAGATAAATACACCCATTTTGCAGAAGAGGAAATTAATCTCGGAGGGGCTGTGCAGCAGGAATTGAGTAATACAGCTAGCCACCTTCAGGAGCAGAGCTTGAAGCTGCCTGTGTCATACTACTCACCTGCCAGTGCCAGCAGAAGTCTGCCTGCTGACTAGACTGCAGAGAACATGCTTGACCTCTTTCCCTCTTTGACCATCTGTTAAATGGAGTGAGCACTTTCATGCTTCACAGGTGTGGTGTCAATTTTATGACAACTCTGTATTATCCTGAAGTTCTGAAGAACAGGCATGCATATTTATAAGGGATTTAATGTCTTGTGCTTCAGGGCATAAACTAACCTCTAATTAATAAGGTTCAAAACCAGCTTTCTGTGGGGTAGTGAATTTTTCAGAGAACCTTTCTTGCATTTTCCAACAGTCTTTGCTGTTGGCTACTGTCATCCTGGTAGTGGAGTGAGGGAATATACGATCTGAGCCAGTAACTCTTGTGTTCCTCGAAGACAGCACTGTGTGCCAATGAGTACACATTGATTCTCTTTGTAAGCCATGCTCCCAGCAGGTCCAGGCCAAATAAAAGAATATGAATTAGAACTGCAATGCAGGAAAGAAATATTTGTCATTGTTTTTGCCAGAAGCATTACAACCGACAGCCATGCATGGCACAAACCACAATGCTTTTACTAACAGAGTGCAGGATTCTAGGTTGACCCTCTACTGTCTAGCTCAGCTTTGCCATGCAGCTGTGCAAACTGTGTACATTTGTTGGCAGAGAGCTGCCCTTTTCCTTTCCCAAATGGCTTCCTCTAAAGATCCTCTGCTGTGCAGGCTCACACGCACTTGGCTGTATTGCTGTCTGGCAGTGGTCAGTGGTTCTTGACAGCTCTATAACATTTAGCCATGCAGCTCTCAAAATCAAGAAGAATCATGAGGCGAGTACAAGCCATGATTCTCTCTTTAATACATCCCATATCCACAGTCACTCTTCTCTGGTTGATTTTTTTTTTTTTTTTTTTTTTTTTTTTTTTTTTAATTTTTTTTATTTGTCCAGTCTCTCTGTCAGGGAACCAGGCTCCTGACCCTTCACTTATTTCAGTATCAGTAACGCTGACATCACCACTGCCAGATTTAGGCTGTCCTCAAAGGAGAAAGTGCAAGCACTGGATTCACTGCTCTTGCAATCCTAGTCAAGATTTATTGTGCCCCACAGTAGTGTTTGTCAGCTGTCACTAAAGAGGTTTTATCTAACTTCACAACACTAGCAGAACAGAACACAACAGAAGGGTGTATAAATGGCATCCTACTAACAGTGGTTTAGGGAAAGCCTTCTCTGATGTTTACTGCTACTGATATATAGAGAACTAGTTAAGTATTTTGTTATGCAGACCTTTCCTTTATGAAATTTAGCTGTGCTTGTTGGTTTTGTGTGTTTTTGGTTTTTTTTTTTTCCCTCCATTTCTCTTCTTTATGGCTCTACAATCATCAAGCATTCTCCATATTACCTCTTTGTTTCTAAGCCCACCAGGGTTCTCCCTCCCTTTTCTGATTCACATCAGCTTTAACTTGTTTTAGGCAAAGCAAGTCCTCAGATCTCTTGGTTATAAGACAGTAAGAGAGGATTGGTAGAAACTCTGAAAGGGGGGGGAAGTAATCTCACAGCTGCCTAGAAGTGTCATTCTCAAAGCTCCAGGAAAAAAAGCTGTGCTGAGTAGCTTCCTCGGCAAAGGCCCTTCTAGCTACATATAGTGGAGTCTCAGGTTCCCTAGGTAACCTGAATATTAATTATTATATTAGTATTCTTCAAAGGTTTTCCACTTAAAAGAAATGTTTCATTAGTGCAAGAAATTACAGAGCCCAATTAGGTGCAAGCTGTAATCGTTTTGTTGTTTGTTTGTTTTTTTTTTTTTTTACACCTCCACATCCCTTTGCTGTACAGATTTCTAAGCTCAATTTATTCTCATTTGAGCTGCACACCCATGGTGGCAAATAATCTGCAGGTTTTCCAAATAGTTGCAACTCCTGTTTTTGCTGGAAGCTAAGAAATGGCTACAACAGCCTTCAAAATTACTGTGGGGGGAGGGAGGGAGGCTATGGAGAAAGGCTAAGCAGATGCTGTGTTTCAGTGAAGCCTCTGGGCATTGTATTTCTGTGCTGTCTTGCTGAGCTTGGAGCCTGGCAAAGCAGCGAAACAGTTCTTCAGGAGTGGTATCAGAGTGAAATAGCCCTGTGTGAGCTGTGGATAATGGCCCCTCTGCCCACAGAAATACCATCCTGACAACCCTTATTTGCGTCTGATAATGATGGGAGAAGGAGATTCCTGCAGTTTAGCTGGCACACTGCTCCACCCTACCAAAATATCTTAAATTTTTTTTTTAAAAAGAATACAATACTGCTTAAAACCCCCTGGATCTTGAAAAGAATAGTTCAAAGATCAACCCATTTTCCTAGCCCTGTAATTTCCCTCCTGCTTTTTATTCCACTTGACCTCTATTAGCCTTTTCCCACTTTAATATCTCTTCTGAAAAGTGTGTGTTAAACATTCCTGCAGATTATAAAATCCCACTCCTTGAAGAGATTAATTTGTAGTGTGCTACACTGTGGTATATAAATAACAGTGCTGCTCACAACATCTGTGTACTGCAGTGAACCACAGTTGAAACACAAATAAAATACCCTTCAAGGTCAATTTATGCTTTCATAAGCTTACACGACTGCATAATCAATAGCTTTCCTAACACTAAACAGGTCAATAATTCTACTCTACTGTCTGAAATCTTTCATTGGAGTATGCAAGAAAACATGCAGAACTCCGAGATTACAGTCTGACTTAAGAGTACATTTGCTCCATAGGTTTAACAGATCATATGTAAAATCAGGAGTATATATTCAGAGACTTTTTTCTCTTTCAGAAAAAAGGTGGGGTTGAGAGATAGTAATTGGGGACAGTTTGGAGAAATAGTTGAATTTTTAATTGCTCTACAGACTATATACTTCCTGAAGGCTGGAGGATTCCTATGAGGGGAACCTAATATGGAATCAGACTGAATTAATTATGTCTTCATGGCAGACTCTTTAAATAGTCTTTGGTTTGGCAATTTTATTACACTTTTTACATATGCAGTCTTGATTTCAGATTCAACCCTGTTGGCTTTCACTGCTGTAGACATTTATGATGGTACTTCATTTATGGACAGTTTAAGAGCTGTCGGAGCAGCATTCTCCTTCAACACATTCTGT